AAAATCTGTTGTAATAAATACAATTAAAACACAAACTGTTCATCTTACTGTGCATAGATGTCAGCAGCAGACAGAAGTAGAAGTATGGATTTAGCAAAAATAATAGAAAGCAAAACAATATATATCTGCTTGAAATGCAACAATCTTCCTACATTTATCAAGGATCTATCTAGCTAGCTAGCTAGCTGTCTGACTGTCTATCTGTAGCAATATGGAGTTAATATCCTGCCAAAACATTGCATTTTGTGCACAAGGACAGTTTGTAAAGTATGCTTTATGTATGTGCAACTTTCCAGCACAGTTTGTGAAATATGTTTTCTTTGTGTGCAACAATCTTTATTGGTTTGCAACGTTTTGGCGGGAAAATAACTTGAGTTGTCTTTGGCTAATATTTGAATAATCTTGCTATTTGAAACACTGAAGTGTGACAAACATGAAAAGAAAAATCAGGAATGGGGCAAACAATTTTTAACATCACTGTAAATCGATAAAAACAAAATTTATCTGAAGAGTTGGATAAGAAACGTTTGATCAGGTTTCTTAGTGAACTGGATCAAGTCAGGTTGATTAACCTGACTTTATGAGGAAGTTTTTATAAACCTCCTAGTTCATAAAAACATGGAAGTTTATAAAAAAAACTTCCAAGTTTTTTTTATAAAAAAACTTGGAAGTTTTTTTGTAAAATCTAGTGGCTAAACTAGTTTAGCCACTAGTTTAGCTAAACTAGTGGCTAAACTAGTTTAGCTAGTGGCTAAACTAGGAAGTGGCTAAACCACTTCCTAGTTTAGCCACTAGGAAGTGGCTAAACTAGGAAGTAGCCACTTCCTAGTTTATAAAATAACTAGAAAGTGGCATAGTGGCCTAGTTTTATAAATTAGGCCACTAGTATATAAAACTAGTGGCCTAGTTTTTATAAACTAGGAAGTGACCCAGTTTATATAAACTAGACCACTTCCTAGTATGCATTGTATATATAGTGAGGATAACTAATGTGGCAAATACACATACAAGAGCAGCTCAAGATGAAGACTTCTGTGGCAGCATTAACTTTCTTTTTCTTATACTTGCGTGTGGCTGAAATCATAGCTCAGCCAGGAGAGGTCAGTGACACAGATGATGGCATTGTTCAGTCACCTGGAGGCCAAGATTGTTGTGCGGCCGAAAGCCAGAAAAACTGTTGTCAACTTTTTGTCAGCTTAAGAGAGATAGAAACCAAACTTAGAAACACTCAGAGAGAGATGGAGGTCCTGAAGTCACAAGTTCAAGGTAAGAGCATATTTGGAGTTTTAACTTTTGTAAATTTTGTTATATAGAGATTAAGTAAATTTTATAATGAATATTTATTTTCATATTCTTAAGGCAACAAGGTAGTATTTGGCGCATCCATAAGTGTAGGTGGAAATATTGGACCTTTTAATACCCACACCACACTGATCTACAAAAAGGTCTACGTGAACACAGGATCGTTCAACCCGGCAGCAGCTAAACTTATCACAGCAATACGTTTGACCATTCTTATGTTTCAAATTCATGTGTACAAATACTGTTGAGAATTTTGTACTTGAAGAGGTTTACGTATTATTGTGTGTCACGTAAAATAATGTGATTATGTCAAGGAGGACCTAAATGCAGTTAGAGATACAATTTTTACAAAAGGCAAAATACATTTGAGTAGAAGAAAACATTGTAAGAAAAAAAGAAATCTGAAAAATTCCCTTAAAAAGAATTTATGACAGAGACCACAGTTGTTTCTTCAACATCTTTAAAAACTGCAAATAGATAACAAAAAATGTACCAAAAAAAAGGATCAAGAATCACTATGCTACATTAAAACTGATCACATTTACAACACAGAAGGGTTTATATCATTGAACAATAAAAAAAGAACAAATTCAAATTAATCATTTTGAAGTATTTTTTACTTTGATCTTTAAAAATAATATGCAATATTACATCATCATTAAGTCACAAAACCTAAATGCGTTATTCACTGCATATGTGTTGAGATAAATTGCATACACCTCCAATCTCCGACTTATACTTAAATACTTAGAGGTTCTTTTTAATGGCGGGCAGAGCCATTAATATCACCATAAACAACTCTTTGATCATCCACAGGTATTTTCACAGCTCCTGTCAGAGGAGTCTATTACTTCAGCTTCTCTGGACATAATCATTCATCTAAACCAATGGGCCTGCAACTAATGAAGAATGGAGGATATGTGGTCACTTCCTACAACCATGCTGCTGGGAACCATTATGAGGCAGCAACCAATGGGATGACGCTGCAGCTTGAAGTTGGAGACCAAGTTTACATGAGACTGGTGCAAAACACCTGGATTTTTGACAATATGCACAATCTTAGCACATTTATTGGCCTCTTATTATTCCCTCTGTAAGAGTTATGAACAATTAAACAAAGGTGAAGACAAAAAAATATTTGAGTTTGATTTCAGTAATGTTTGTAAGAATGCTTTTTGTTTTAGAGGCATATTTTAGAACAAAATTAGAATCTGTTTATGTTGTGTATTAAATGTGAGAAACTATTCAAAACACCTGGATTTTTGATAATGGAGGTGATCATAGTACCTTTATTGGCCATTTATTAGTGTTCCCTCTGTAAAGGCTGTGAACAATAAACACCTTCTTATAGTAACTTAAAAGGCTCAAGATAAAGACAAAAACAACTAGAGATTGATTTCAGTTAAAATGCTAAGCAAAAACATATCTCGAGGCAGATTTTAGAGAAAAACGTTAAACTGTGTATATTATGTTTTAAATGTGAGATAAAATGTGATGCATGCATGTTCGAGTCAATTCATAATCATCTTTGACCTATTAAATTATTGGTAATGATTAAATGTTTAATTTTCAAATTAAATACTCAAAGTCTTTTAAATCTATTTGATGCTTTTATTCTGTTTTTGTATGAGCAGGTGGAAATCTCATTTTCTTTTGAAGAAATAAAAAATAAAAAATTATTTGCAACATTTGAATGACTAATAATTCTGAATTACAAAAGAGTCATACCAGTTAAACTGGAAAATGTGGAGTCAACATGTATATTAATCAGAGATGCTCACTCTTACTAAGGTCAGCCATGTTTGTTAGAATTTCAGTACAGCATCAAAAAAAATGCTAAGGTAGAAAACATGTAACAAGTTAAAGAAGTGGTCCAAAATCTCAATAAATAGAAAGATTTAATGTTTATAATATAAGTTTCTATTTTCTGGAGTGAACCATACATGGTAATTGGGGACAACAAGAAAAAAATGCACAGTCATTCCTTTATTGTAATCCATTTATTCTTTTCACCTGTGCATGCATGTGGAGCAACCTTTGACCTATCAAGACAAGGCCATCCACCTAAACCTGCAGGCCGAACACAGAGAGCACTGATCAGAGATGCAGCCTAGAGGCCCATGGTGACTCTGGAGACACTCTCTGCAGAGATCCTCAGCACAGGTGGGGGTTATTTGTCCGCAGGACAACTATTAGTTGTGCACTGCACAAATGTAGTCTTTATGGAAGTGTGGCAAGAGGAAAGCTTTTCCGCCAAAATGCAAAGCACTACGTGTGGTGGAGAACTAACACTCCACATCACTCTGAACACACCATTCCTTCTCCCAAATATGGTGGTAAATATGGCATAGCATAATATAATAATAATAATAATAATTAAAATAAAACATTCACATTGATAAAACTGACAGAGGCTTTTAGTGTTTCAGTCATGTGTCACCCATGCTGTGCAAATATTTTTTATTGAATTATTTCATGTATTGAAGGCTTTTTTTTTATTTTTTACAACTTTTGAGACAATTTAGAAAAATATGTTTTCACATCCTTGTGTAAAACCGAAAGGAGCTTCACCACAAATGGTTTTTCAAAGAATGAAACAGGTTTTTCCAATGAAAAAAATATGTGTCTTTATTAGATTGTAATTGGTCAAATATGATGGTAAAATGTATTTATTTAATTACATACATCAGATCGCCTCACATTTAAGACATACCGCACACAGCTTCTAATTTTACCCTGCTATCTCTCCCCATCAGTACGTATTACCACTGAATATTATCACCAAAATAAAATCAATTTCATGTGTATGTTAGCTTTCATTCTTTTGCAGGAACCTTACAGAGAGAATAATAAATGGCCAATAAATGTGCTGTGATCATTCGAATTGTCATAAATCCAGGTGTTTCCACGCAGTCTTATGTAAACCTGGTCTCCAACTTCAAGCTGCAGAGTCATCCCATTGGTTGCTGTCTCATAACGGTTCCCAGCAACATGGTTGAAGACAGTGACCATCTGCTGTCCATTCTTCATCAGTCGCAGGCCCATTGGTTTAGATTATATATTATGTCCAGAGAAGCTGAAGTAATAGACTCCTCTGACAGGAGCCGTAAAAATACCTGTGGATGATCAAAGCGATGTTTATGGTGATGCTTGGTGGTCTTTTAACTCCAAGGTTTCAAAAACAAATCCTGAAGTATTTAAGCAGTATTTAAGTATTTAAGCAGACATAAGACTTAAAATGGAAAAAAAAAAATGTCTTCTTACAACTCTCACAAGTTGCTGCATTTTTCAGTCAGAGGAGAATGTACTTTATGTAACCACATACAGTAGAAGTATTTCAAAAACAAAATACAAGGTTGGAGGTGGCCATACTTTTGCTTTAGTAGCTCCTAAACTATGGAACAGTCCATTTTTTCACCCATCGTTGAATGTTGATCGTATTATTGGTAGGTCAATTCCAAACCCTACCTTGAGTGTCAAGAAAAGCACATATAGATGAAATGTATCATTATTATAACTGATTTATTTGATTATCTTTTAATTGTTTAAATTTTTGTAATTACGTAGCTGTTTAATGTCTTTTAAAGTTAACTTTGTATTTTGTTCTTTTTATCTTTTTAATTGTCTTTATGGAACTTTGGTCCTTTGTGGTTTTTAAAGGGCTTTATAAATAAAGCAGGATTGTTTTGGATAGCATTGCATCGGATATGCAGTAAAGAGTTTGAGCAACTTGTGAAAACAGATTTAACTGCTATGACTTTATGATATAATGAAAATGTAATGTACATTATTCGGAAAGCTCCAGGTAAAATGCCTTAAAATGATTTGTTTGAATTTATTCTTTGTTTTTATGTTTCAGTATTATAGACCCTGTCTAAATTGTAAATGCAATCAGAATCTTTAATGTACCAATGATGACTGTTGTTCATTTTTGTACAGCATACTTTTTTAACCTCATCACAGTTTTTAAAGAGGTTGAGGAAATAACAGTGATTCTCTGTCTTTTTTTGGTGACTTTTTTCTGATTTTTCTTTTTTTTTTTTGTCTTACAAGATTTTCTGCTACTTGTATGTTTTTATTTCACAGTTTTTAAAGGTTGCATCTCAAGTCTGGTCTGCATTTAGGTCCTTAACACAATTGCACTATATGACACTTAGTAATGTGGTACATCTTTTCAGACACAGCAATATATTTCAAACTCTCAATATTTGTGCACAATAATTTGATTGATAAGCATAATAAAATATTTTACTGTGATAAGTTTACCTGTCGCCGGGTTGAATGATCCTGTGTTCATATAGACCCTTTTGTAGACCAGTGTGATCTCAGTATTAAAAGGTCCAACATTTCCACCTGCACTAATAGATGCTCCAAATGCTACCTTGTTCCCTTAGAAAGAAAACATGGCCATTATGTTTATTTTCTCTGTATATAACATTTTTTACAAAAGTTAAAACTCCAAATCTGCTGCTCTTACTTTGAACCTGTGACTTCAGGACCTCCATCTCTTTCCGAGTGTCTCTAAGTTTGGCTTCTAGCTCTCTTAAGATA